TCAAGTGGAAAGGACAAGTCAGGTTTGTGTTCATTCTGTTTTCTTTTGTTTGTGTTGAAGTAATGCCTACATACACTAGTCATACCTTACTGTACCTTAACTACACATACATTGGGTAAATATTACACACTCCGTACCTCATACCTCGCAAGAGGATGAGCAGCTTATACTTGCAAGTGAGGGGTGCTTGCAGGCTAGATCTAATGGACAGGAGGAGCCTGGAAAGTTTGGAGACACCCTTGGTCAATGTGATAGGTAGCATTATCACTGGCTCTGACACTTATTTTCTGTGAACATGACTGCTGGAGGCAGCATTTTATTTGCTTTCAAGCACTCTTTTCTGACCTTTGTAGGCAGTTGAGCAAAATATGAATGTTTCCACAAACTTCTTTCAACAGCACTGAAGGAAGATAATAAGCAGCATTAACACATTTTTGATGAAATGCGGGGTATGTTTATGGAAGGAGGTGCATGGAAACTGTAGCTGCTGTTACCCTTTAACATCACTCAGGATGGGGTGTGGCCACTGTCGTACAAGGTGCCCACCCATAAGTGCCAAACTTCACCCATGACTGTGGGAGCTCTGAATTTAAGCAGTGATAAATGGTGTTTAGTCAGTGGATGGCATAAGCTAGAATGCATGAAAATTTAAAAATATGCGGACTCTGATTTTTGTCCTCGAATTTTTAAGGGTTTGTTTTGGTGTAGATGTATTTGCTCTAGCTTCCAGGTGGTAGCTAACAAGACATTTGGGTGGCAGACACCTTTGAGGTCTGCAAAGCTGACTAGTTGGGCATTGGAACAATCTGGTATTGGGGTGGGTTAAAGATCACTGGGTTCAGTCACGCGGATCCAATCAAACTTAATGGTTCAGGATCATCTTTAGATACAGTGAGTGCTGAGACAGGAAAAAAAACTTGCCAAGCTCAGGTCTTTCTAAGACCAAGCAGCTGTCTCCTTTTAGAAGGCTTTTGGTTGTTCTGTGCAGGTCATCCACAGCAGTCAGCTGTTAGGCCTTTATCTCTGCTCTTCTCTTTTCCAGACTGTTCTGTTTTCAGTGTCTGCTCACTGGTAGCAGGGTTGTGTCCACTTTGAGTTCTTCCTACTTGGAAATCGTGTGTCAGTTGAAGACAGAAAGCTTAAAAAGAGTAACCTTCAGGCTTAGAAATTAAAAGGCTCTTTAAGCACGTTGGGCCCGGGTTCTGGGGTATATGGGTTTGATTATTTATTCATATGACTATTTTTAGAAGTGCTCGAAAATAATTTGAAAATCATTTCTGTGATCTAGGAAAGGGTCTGTGCTGACTAGTCTTAAGGACAGCCATCTCTCTTACCAGAGGTGTGTGACTGTAATGCGTTTCAGGGGAGATGGTCGCTTTCAGTATGGCAAAATGTCAAGAACCTGAAGTCATTTTGAAGAAATATAATTTTAGTCTATTACTTATGCCAAATATTAGAGATTATAAATATTTTTAATAGGCTGATGTGCATGGAAAGAACAAACCAGCAATGACCAGTGCAATCTTCAATCCTGATGTATTTTGTGATTCAATCTTCAGTACTGGATTTTTACTAGAGGCAGTTTTGTATTTTGCTTACTAAAAATATCTGAGGGATTTGATGTGATCTGTGTAGCAGAACAGTATATAAATTTCCTAAAGGCCTGGGGATAGTGTTCCACTGATGCTGCTGTTAGACAATATGCATGAAGGCGCATCTGCCATGGTTCTTTCCTGGCCCATGGCTCTAGTGCTGCGGGGATGGAATAACAGCATTTCTTAGCACAGTGCCGCTGTAAAAAAGCATCTAGGCAAGGACTGTTGGTGTTGGGGGGCGGAACTGGGACACATCTGTAAGGTGTCCAGTCGCACAGCACTCCTGTAGTGAGCCTGGTACCAGAGCCATGGCTTGAAGCGGCTTTGATCATGTTCCACGCTGCTGGGTTTGGCTTGGTGCACCGGGGCAGGAGGGTTCATGCGGGTTCGGTCACCCCAGCGCGTACTGTGCCTTGGATGTTCCTGAGACTTTGAGCTCATGCTTGGGACTCCTGGATGTTCTGCAGCCAGAGCAGAATTAGGTAAGCCCTTGATTCACAGACAGTTTAGCTGTGAGCACAGAAAGGACATCAGGATGTGGCCCCAAGCAATGTGTGATGATTGCAGGAGTGACATGTTTTCATCCTGTCTCAGTTTTAATTATATGGCTTCTTTGTTCTTAAGTAGCTTGCCTTGTAGCAGGAGTGCAGCAGTTTCCTCCCTGGTGCTGATAAGGTGGGGTAGGCTGTCTGTGACTTCTCACCCTGCTTAATTTTCTGCCAATTTCTATCCATTTCCACATGGAAATTTTGGTATGGAATGGGGAGAAGTTTAAGGCGCTGGGTGCCCTGACCTTCCTTCTTTCTGTGACGCAGCCCTTCTTTACTCCTCTCTGGAGGAGCACCTGCTCCCTGCTTGGTGCTTGCCATGAGGACAGATGGATCATTCCTTTTCACACTACAACACTTGCTTAAATTCTTCAATTAAAAGCCTGGGCTGTAAGGTGGCAGCTGGGCTCTCGCTCCAGCTGTAGGCAACCAGTAGGACAGGCTGCCAGGCCAGCTAACCCCTGGGCAGAGAGGGGCTAGATTTCAGTGTGGATGCTGGCCTTTTAGGTGCCCCAATTTCCTCTGTAATGAGATTACTTTTACCCCTGGGGCCCCTGCCTGCCCTTTTCCTCTGAAGGTAAAAGTAATGTCTGTACCTGCCCCTGGTGTGCTTTGGGGGTAAAAACAGAAGGAAGAGGAAAATTACTGATGACTTTGGCATGGAGACCTACAGTTCATTTTGCTCAAGCAGTCCTCTTTGCTGTAAGATTTCTTTGGCTTTAGTAGAATAGTATTTATTACAATTAATTATGTTTAAATGGGCCGTGTGGTATTTGGACTGGAAATGGACATACCACACTGCAGGGATGGAAACATAAAGCAGTGTCCCCTGGGTGGTAAATTTCTGATGCAGCTCTGGACAAGAAGATTCGTCTGTGACCCTGGGTATTGAGATTTTTAGGAAAGTGTGCCTTATTCCTGTAAGCAGCATTGAATTTGACCCATTGTAGGGCCAAGCTTGCCTCCCCAAATTTAGCTATTTTTGTTAGTGGTACACAGATTGCTCTCCAAAAGTACCAACACTGTAAGCACCCACTTGTAATTACAGCTCTGCAAGTACTGCATCAAGGTAAAATGATCCATGTGTTGTGGGGTTTCCTTTCAGGTAATAAAACAGAAAATCCAATTTGCAATTGCAAAGCAAGTCCCTGAGTGATGCACGATCTTCATAGCAGCACCGGTCAGAGGGTTACAGCTAATCACAGCGCTGGCTGCCTTCCCTGGTGGCCTGTGCCGGAAAACTGAACAGCCAGCAGCGTGAGCCTGCGCCTGGAGCCAGCCAGCACAGCTTTAGACACACCAGTTTCTAGCTTATTAGGTCCTTTTTGTCATAGTACTTAATCCTGCTTCCTGATCCTTGTTAGAACAGGGCTGCCGAGTTCCTTAATAAAGGAGAGGGGTGCGCGGCTCCTAACGAGGCGCACTGAAGCGTGAGGCAGCGAGGGCAATTGCCGCCTGACTGACAGAGGGGTGAAGTGCTCCCTGCCCATTGTTATTTCAAAAGAACAGGCCTCAGACAGCTGACAGATGAGCTTGCTAAGGGTACGGGTAACTTGCTGATAGGCTGATATGAGATGCATGACATCTTTTCACACCGTATAATGGTCTGTCTTTACTCTCATTACGTTAACCCTTTTTACGGGGAGAAGCGCGTCAAGGGTTAGCTGTGATGTACAGCGTGCACCGCAAGGGCCAGCAAGCAGGCAGCTTGCAGCAGCTCCCGTAGCATGCGTGTTCATGCTACTTACACAAGTGCCTTCAATAGCACATCAGGTTGATTTCACATTTCTCTGACAGTTTGGCTTAGTCTTCAAAACCTTGCAATTTTTTTTCTTTGTTTCCCATAGTTAGAGATTATTTTTTATTTCTTACTTTAAACCTCTGGGAGGAGGGTACACCCTTCTGTCATAAAATTAATAAAAATAAATTAAAATATCATAGCACTGACTTCTTATAGAACACAAGAAAATATTTCAATAACTAGCCTGTCCTGGAATTCAGCCTGTTGTATCCAGTCACGAGGAGTTTCAGTAGAGCATGTACTGTTTTGGTTTTGGGTGGTAAATATCTACAAAACAAACAAACCCCTAAGATGTCTCTTAAGTCTTCCTGTCAACAGAATAGGTAAAGGTGGCATGTTGCAAGAATGATGGGTTTGTTTGTTTTTTCAGTATAGAGAAAGTTAACTACAGTTCAATGGTAGGATCTAGGTACAAACAGCACGTTGGGCACTGGGAAGACAAAGAGGCTGTTGGGCATCGCTTGTTGACATTATGCTTGGAGCATTGATTGAGAAATGCTTTGCACTGCTAAGCTTCAGAAGAGCAAACTCTTACCACAGCATCATTCTCCTTTCATTCCTGCAAGCCATGGAGGAGAGGGATAGTTTGCTGGATTGTCCCAGAGGCCTGAGTGTTATGTTTAATGGTTAAATTGTGCAAGCCTTTCAGTGCTGCTACACAGCTTGAGGTTTGGAGTTGGGAATTGGGAAGCTTTGTGTTCTACTGCAGTAGTTCTGCTCTTGCAGGGTGAATTTACTCACCTGCAGAAGGACACCTATGTACTATTAACCCCTGCTTAAAAGTAATTTGATAATAAATATTATATGCAGTGGGCCAAGTTTGGTCCTGTTGTACTGAATGTAGTTGCACTGTGAAATGCATAGGGTGCAACTGCATCCATCATGATGGGAACTACTATGTCCTCTTTTTCCTCTGCGTGAAGACTGAAATATTTGCTTTTATTATGGTTGTACTCTCTGAAAGAAATTAGAAGCTTTATATTCACAGCAAGAGATTTCTTTCAAATTTTTCATATTTTGAATTTTTTTCATGCGCTTATGTTTAATCCTTTTCAGGTAACTTGGATTTGACTGGTCAAAAGCAAGTCTTCAAAGCAGAGAACAATCCCTGGGTTACCCCTATTGCTGACCAGTTCCAGCTTGGAGTATCTCATGTTTTTGAATACATTCGGTCAGAAACCTATAAATAGTAAGTATGTACTGTAGCTTTGTTGGGTTTTTTCCTGTAACGTGTTTGGCAAAGTGTTATCAGCTACACCCTTCTTTCATAATCCATGCAGTAGCTTGGTATTCAGGGCAAATATGCAAACCTGCACGCTTCTATTAAGGAATTTTGCTGATAAGAAGGTATAAAAATGTTCATCAGATGTATTAGGAAGGTACAAAGACTGTTTGAGACTGTCCTACACTTGATGTTCGTTTCTAAGAGCTATTATGTAACATGAGGGATGTAAAAGTGCAAGCATTATGACAAGTCTTTAAGAAGTACTAATTTCAAGTATAGATTTTTATAGATTGAAATAGACATTTTCTTGAACACCTTTGGATGCACGTTGTTATGTTTTGAAAGAGATGTCCAGAATTCAAACCTGGTTTGATCTGGACTGGTTTACAAAAGTCTACAGCCCTGGTAATTCAAATACAGATACTAGTACTTTCTTCAGCTGTGTAACTGGAAAAAAAAATATGTTGTGCTGTGAATTCTCCATTTTAATTCAAAATTCTGTGTACCAATGCTAAGCATTTCTTTAAGAAACTATCTTTGCTCATTCACTGAATTGAAATATTTCTTTTCAGTAAAAATTTCTGTATCACCAGTCCACAGTAAAACTTTAGATGGGAAATTATGTGTCTGACAACAACCTTGATGCTGTCTTCCTAGAAGCAGTAGGTAGTAAAACGTACAGTACAACCTCTAGGTTGGAAAGTTAGTTTCTGCATTTCCCCTTTATTTAAGAACTGTATTTTAATAATTTAGAAGAATTTCTGACAATGTTTTTATATGGTAGCTGTCTGAACTCAGTTACCAAAGGAGAGTATTCACAAGTGAAGATTTTAGGATTCCAATTAAGTAACTGAGATGTAAATTTCTGTAGGAAATTAAATGATCCAGCAACGGCTTTTGGAGAGCGTTCTTCATTTACAGAATTTAAGTGAAAAGGATCACAGATGGGAGAGTGGTTACAAAAATTGTGTGTCTCAGAAGTGTCCTGGTATTTATGCTGTAATATGTGTTCTCAAGATGGATTTATTCATAGATTTAAGTAGGCTGAAACACGCTTCTTCCAGTAGTACTCTATACTACAGGGACGATATAGAGAAAGAGCTGTCTGTCTCTTTAAACCATCCCTTTCCCACAGCCCATTGTGTAGCTGCCTTTAGATTTCTTGATAATGTTTTGTAATTGGTTTTATTGCCAATTGCATATTTCTGTTTGAGCAGTGTAGGTTAGGGATGCTCATGCAGTTCTCACAGGGATAGCTCTGGGCATCGTGAGGATGGCAGAGTTTCAAGGACTGAAGTGCAGTTTTGAGAATTTGAGCCATGTTCGATTGGGGCAGGGGCTGTTGTTAGGTATCTATAATTAAAAAATATATATTTTATAACTGTAGATATATTAAACTGCTCTGGCAGATTTCCTTGTGCAATCACAGTTAACATAAAAGGTCCTGTAATTAATCACTGGCCTCAACTATTGCTCTTTGTTTTAAACTAACTGTATTATGTTTGCTGTCTTGTTTGCTGAGGTGTAACAGTGTCTTATTGGCTAATGGGCTGATTTTGATTTTGTCCACAGTAAATATTTGCAGCCTGTATAGTTAACACTGTAAGCAAAATTAGGCTCTACCCATTAATGGGGGGGGCGGGGGGGATAAAATCAAATCATTCTTTCATGGCTCATTCATGGCTTCTATTTTGTTCTTAGACACTTACTCAGTTAAAATACCATTATTTTCAAAGATTACTGATTAAAACTAAATGCATGCACATACTAATAATTAGATGCCTTTTTATATTCAGCATATAATTTCTATATTTAAGCCATAAATTAAAATTATCTGTATAATTTTGTTAGAATCCCAGTAGCAACTTCTTTTTGATTCTTCATTGTACATGTTTCACATGCTATGAAGAGAGTTTGTGGATTTTCCTGCTGGAAAAGATTGTCTTTTATTTCCAGTTTCCTTTAAATATGTGATCTGAGAATTACTTGGATGTCACCTGCTACAGACTTTTTTCTGTTTGCATTTGATTTTAGGTGTTAAAACTCAGAAGCAATGGCATAATGTAGGTAACAAGTCTGGTAGCATTATTGTGCACAAAAGCAAATAAGCTGTGAACACAGAAGAAATGAAAAATCTTTTTTGTGATGAAATTTTGATCTGTTCCCACTAACAACTATACAACACTAACTTCCTTTTCTTTCAGAGTCTGTGTCCACGTACTGTCTTTTATTTCATTAAGCAAATCACAGGATTGAGATGTGAATGTAGTAATTTTCTCTGTAGATATCTAAGCAAAATTGAGCTCTTGGGGTGGTGGTAGTGGGGTTTGATCATTCACCCAAAAGAAAAAAAAAAAAAAACAAAAACTTGCAACATTTGATAGACCCAGCCAGCTTAATTTTCAGTCTGAGACAAAGCAGTACAGTGAAATGGATGATTGGAGAGAATGCTGTTTAGGTAACCTCACTTGCAACACTGAGAACCGTGCACGTGTTAGCAGCTGACAGCCAGATCAGTAAGTTTACTTGCAGGTACTTTCATAAAACAGGAGCTATGCATCTATATGGTAGATGGATTTTGAGCTCCAGAGATGGTAATTGTCTCCTTACGCCCATGGCTTTTGCTGGCTGATTGGAAATACTGATTTTACTTTGTTTACAAGTCTAACATTGTCTATACTAGCTAAGGCTGAGGGTATGCTCATACAATCCCAAGTCCCAGGTTTCAGGGGCTTAGCAAGTTAGGTTTTGCTAAGTGGGTTGATGCTAATACAGTTTGTGTTTGCAATGACTAGAACATCGTGTTTACTCAGTGGCTGCTACCTCAGCCGGAACATGGTAACTCATGGTAAGTCTTGCCAATGCACTCACTTGCGGTCGCGTTACTAAACCTTGAGGTTTCTACTGGTGGCTGGCACAAGCCATAGCTGTACGCTGCAGTCATATCAGATTTCCATTCAGATTCTGTGAGGCCGCCCCTTGTGAAGCAACTACCAAATGGATCACAAACCTCTTCTTATCTTTGTGAAATGTACTGGCTCTTTAAAGCATATTTAGTGAAAAATTACACCCCATTTTTAGCCTTGTCTTAGGATATTCATGCTCTGGTGATTAATTGCTAAGTAGGGATGGCATCCATGAGGGATGATTGTGTCTAAAGATAAAATGTCATTTGTCTCACACACTTCTACATTTTCAGACTCCTGTTTTACTTACCCACCAAGTCTGAAACTGGAATTGCACTTTACTTCAGAAGCCTGTTAGCCAGTAAGGACCCTCTGATCACCTCTTCTTTGTAGCTTCTTTCATTTCCTTTAATTTCCTTACCTTTCCTGAGAAATGATGCCAGGTGATTTTTTTTTTTCAACCCTCATTTTTCAAGCAAGACTTGTGCTGACAAAATGATGGGCCATATATTGTGGCAGAAAATGTGTGTGGAGGGACTCTTAATTCTTAACAGGAAATTCAGCAGCTCTTGGCACTTTGCTACTTTTTGTTGGCTAAAATGTGCCCGCTGAACATATCCTGTAATGGCATAATTTGGAAATAGGTCAGTTGAACGAGTATGTAATGATTCTTAATCTCTGACTGCCATGCCAATTTTCTGAAACTTTAGTAAGCTGAATCTTGGCTTTGCTTCTGTATGTACTCAGGAGCTGCAGTTAAGCTACCCATGTGGTGTCAAATGTGTTGAAAAGCAGTTGAAGAACTTGCTCAAACAGTAAAGGGTAATGGCAACCTTGTCTCCTCAAAGGGCTTAACTAATTTTTTTTTTTTATTTGTGGCTGTAGTCAACTTTCAAAGTGACCTTTATGTTGTAAGCACAATCTCATAGGATCTTTTCTGTCTAGGGTATTGACAGAGAAATGATGGATTGTATGATTTAGTGGTTACAGTGTACTTAGACAAGTGCAGAGACATATGAATGTTTGAAAGAAAACAGTGAATTAAGCTTCTATGAAGAACTGAAATCCTGTGATGCTCATCAGGATCAGTGTTAGACAATTGGTGATTTGAGTAAGATGAGGTAAAGCTGAGATGTGCAATTTGTACCTGTGGGTGGTTTTGGTTGCTGGCATTTACAGCAAAGTTAATCCAGAAATATACTCTCTGCGTACATTTCTGCCATTAATCACGTGCTTTTGATCAATCTTCATGTGAAACTTGCTCTTTGCCTGTTTGTTCTTGTAACAGAAAGGGTGGTGATTTTGCTTTTATCACAGCAGAGTCTATTGCAGTCATCATCACCTGACATTGTGTCATCTCAGCTAAAGCTAAATAATTTCCTAGGTCCTGAGTGCTTAGAATAGCATTCAGAGTTCCAGCACTTTTAAGCTGCTGTTGAACCCAGCAATCACCTTTCAACACTTTGTTTGATTGTTGTCTCCCTGTTTGACCTCCTTATTCCAGTGCAGCAGAATTGTGATCTAGCAGTCACTGTTAAGTTTCTAGAAAGCAGGTTTTCCCCACGAGACAGTCAGTTCAGAGTCAAGAGTCTCGACAAGATATTTTGCAAAAGTAAGTAAGTTGCACTTTTCACATTTCCATCAGGAAAGGTGGTAGAAGAGCAAGCCATTTTGAAGACTGACACATTAACTCTTAGCAGAGGAAAAGGTTTGACAAACGTCATGCTGCGCATGTGTCGCTTGGCAGCAATGTAACATAGGTTTCCCTGGGCAGGCTGCTCAGTGCTCAGCATTGTAATTGAAAACCTCATTTTATTGGCAGTGACTGTCTGGAAAAATCCCCTCTTGGTTCAGCCTTCCATTTAGAGACAATCACCCTAGCTTTCTTCTTGAGAATGAATTGTTGTACTGGACCCCCACTGTTATGCAGCAGCTCCTTCCAGGGCAGCAGATGCAGGTCAGGAAGGAAGGGATTCTTCTTCTGGGTGATATTAATGGAAAAGTATTTCAGCATTTATTTTTAACAACTAGAAGAGACTGGCAAGACACTCAAGAGTAA